CAAGATAGGTGACTGAGCAAGCTACGGGAAATAAGCCAGTAAGTAACACTCCTCTGTGGTTTCTGCTCCCAGCCCTTGCTTTCAGTTTCTACCTTGCATTTCCTTGATGATGGATTAAAGCCCATAAACCAGAAGAAGTTCTCTCCTCCCAAGTTGCTGAAGGAAATTAAGCAGACATTAAGTTAGAACACAGAGTGACTGACTGGCGACTCTCTTGATTGGATTTAAGGTCTTCTTCCCAGGAGTGATTCCATGCTGCTACTGTAAACATAGTCAAAACCCATGCCTAGGGAAGTCATAGCCACATCACAGAACCTATCGGTATGACCTTACTAAACAGTCATGCTACAAAACTGACATAAATATTTATATTCCTACCTATACACTAGTGCTGTTCTCAACCTCGGTCGTGAAGCTTATTATTTCAGAGGGCAGTGTTTAATGCAAAGACTCACAATGGTCCCAAGTGCTGGGAATATGAGACTCTTGAGTGCTCTGCACAATACGCACAGTCACACACACACATGCACACAGACACACATGCATGTGCACACACAAGCACATGCACACACAGACACACGCTAAGTGATTTTTGAAATGGAAGTTTGAGACAATGTCCCCCATGTCTTAAGCCCCCACAAGAGGAGCAGAGTTGTCCAGATGTGATGTCCTGATGTGCACAGCATTGTCATCCCTGACGTCACTGCCTCAGAAAGTCACACTCACTAGATAATCGCTAACGTCCTTCTAATATGTGAGAGACTTTCCTGCAAACCTGTATGAACAAAGTGGCCAAATGTTTAGCCTTTCTGGGATACAGTGATGCTCCCCATCCTCTGCAAACAGGACTTGGTGTCATTGCCAAACACAAACTTTGGTGCAACTATTAGAAAGCAAACAAGATGTGTGCAGGCATCAGAATCCTGATGCAGCAAGCAACATCCACAGGAGACTGTTGGGGGACAGCATCCAGGCTACTGTCTGCTGTCTTCTCTGACAGCCTGTGTACAAAGCCTTCCCCATGCATTCTGTTAGACTATAATCTTGGGGGAGGGAACCTTTGCTTGGTGTCACCTGTTTGTTATGTTTTCACCCAAGACCCTTAAGTCTTGGGCAAAGAGCTCAGTTGGAGGAGTGCGTGTCTAGTGTTGACAGAGTCTTAGGCTTGATCAACACTACATAAACTGGATAGTGCACATGCCAGTGAGTTTGAGGTCACCCTGGAATACATGAGACTCTTTCAAAACCAAACAACCCTACACCTTTAAGGGACTCTGGCCAGCCCACCCATGGCAAGGATGGCTCTGGCAGGCCTTGCCGTCTCCCCATTCCCTCCACCTTGCTAAAACCTCTAAGATGAATAAGCCTAGCCTCAAAGTCAAAAGCTCCCTTTGGCTTACCCAATTAACATGCCCAATTAAAACTAAACACCTCATCCTGACACCAGATTCTGCTATCACCTTTATAAGCCACCATTTGTGCATGTGCCATGTCTGTCTCCTCTTGATCCAGAGGCAATCCTTTGTCCCCTCTCCCTTGCTCCCTTCTCCTCTCCCTCATCCTCTCTCTTCTGTCTTTGTCTCTTATTCATCTCCTTTGAGCTGAGAACTTGGTCTTGGGGTTCATGCGCTGAGACTGTTCTCTCACACACCTTAACTCCTAAGTTGGATGATAACACAGCCATGTTTAATCTATACATAATATTTATATTTAAAGTGGATTTCTTTTTTTTTTTTTTTTTGAGGCATGGTTTCACTGTGCAGCCCTGACTGTCCTGGAAATAACTACATAGACTAGGTAGGCCTCGAACTCACAGAGATCCTCCTGACTCTACATTCCAAGGACTGGGATAAAATATGTGCACCACCATGCCTAGTTAGAGTGGATTTATTATAGATAACAAATAAGAATATTTTTAATATAACACTTATATACTGTTAACACTTTGAAATTCTTCTTTAATACACTTATTTAGATATTTCATTTAAAAATGATTGTCAATATATGTCCTGGCGTTGTGTGAAAAGGCTTTCTCTGAGGAGACACAACACATGTCTACTTGCTTCCAATCAGAACCCCATAGCAGACCAAACTATAAATATCACAAAAATACAACTTGGGGAACCAATGAACTTTATTGGAGTTACTTAAGGAGCATAAATGACTCTGCTGCACCACCAAGGCCCACCCCAGCATGGGTGACAGCTCACAAAAGGGGGGGAACCTGGAGCACACTGCACAGCTTGCAGGGAACTCATCAAATTGGAGAGAGTCCCTTCCAGTGACTGTTCTAAACTTCTTCTGGGGAAAGTCTGCTGATTTCTGCTTCTCCCCAGCAGCTGATCTGGTCTCAGAATCTTCTTTGCAACTTGTCTTGTCTGAGAGTCTTCACAGCTTAACCATATCTGAGAAAGACTCTCAGCTTTTATTGCTTACTGTGGTGGGGAGAGGCCTAATGAATCTACTCAGTTTCAGGAACTTCCTGAAGTTCTTTTGAGTTCTTTACCTTCCTGCTTAAAGAGCTTCCCTGCAACTTGGAATGTTTCATTCTCAGAGAAAGTTCTGCACAACATGTAGTTATTTTTTGGTTGCTGAGACAGTAGCTGTTGTAGGTATGATTTTGCTGCTGTAAACAGACACCATGACCAAGGCAACATTTTTTTTTTTTTAGATTTATTTATGTATGTGAGTACACTGCTGCTCTCTTCAGACCCACCAGAAGAGGGCATCTGATCCCATTACAGGTGGTTGTGAGCCACCATGTGGTTGCTGGGAATTGAACTCAGGACCTCTGGAAGAACAGTCAGTGCTCTTAACTACTGAGCCATCTCTCCAGCCTCCCAAGGCAACTCTTATAAGGACAACATTTAATTGGAGCTGGCTTACAGGTTCAGAGGTTCAGTTCATTGTCATCAAGGCTGGAACATGGCAGCATCCAGGCAGGCATGGTGCAGGAGGAGCTGAGAGTTCTACATCTTCATCTGAAGGCTGCTAGCAGAATACTGGCTTCCAGGCAGCTAGGATGAGGGTCTTAAAGCCCACACCCACAGTGACATACCTACTCCAACAGGGTCACACCTTCTAATAGTGCCACCCCCTGGGCCAAGCATATACAAACCATAACAACAGTCATATCCAAAACCAACGTGGAAGGAAAAGGCTTACATTGGCTTAGTTATTCAAACACAATCTATCAAGAAGGGAAGCCTGGGTAGTTACTTAGGAAGGAACCTGGAGGCAAAATCTGAGCAGAGACCTCGGAGAAGTGCTGTTTACTGGCTTGCTACATATATATATATATATATATATATATATATATATATATATATATATATATTTTTTTTTTTTTCAGGATCCCTTGCCCAAAAGTGGAACCACTCAGTGAGCTGGGCCCTCCCATATCAAACAGTAACAGGGAAAATGCCCAATAGACATGCCTACAAGCCAATCTGATGGAGGCAATTCTTTAATTGAGGTTCTGTATTCCTAGGTGACCATAGCTAATGTCAAGTTGATAAAAACTAACCAGCACATTATTTTGTGCTAATATCCTCCACATTTGTGATTGCTTCTAATTCTTCTAATTGAATTTAAATAGTGTATCGTTTCTCAATGAACTGAAAGACCAGGTATAAGGTAGAATCACGGACCCTTTCAGGCTGTAAGGGTCCATGATTCACCGAAGATTGTTAGCCTGGACTCAAATAGTATGTAAATGTAGTGTTTTATTCTGTAGAGGTCCAACACGGTGGCGTCTCCCATTACCAAGATAGAGAGAAAACCATGTGAGCTCACAGAGCTGACTTGAAGCACACTGGGGGATTTTGGGGTAGGCGACCTCTATGTTAATCTGTTGGGTCCAACTCTAGGGACATTCCATTACCAGGGTATAGGGGCTAGAAACTTGCTGGGGAGGTCTGGAAACTGTTACTGAGGAAGTAGCTGAGGAGGTCTGGAAACTGCTGCTGACCCATTGTCCTTGCCTCAGGACAGGTGGCGGGGCAGCTTCTGAGGCCTGGACTTGCCTGGAATTGCCCAGTTCTTGGAAACAGAGATCTAGGCCTCGTCTCCTTAACCGCCAATGTGAAGGCTGTCACGGAATCAGCCTAGCCTTCTCAAGGCAGAATATGGACTTCTGTCCCATGTGTTAAAAATCCTACTTCCTGCTGTCCTCTGCTCTGTCCTCTCGTTAGTTTCTTAATCTAGCACTCATCATGAACGACCATCATCCCCTTAGACACGGTGTTTTTAAGAGAGGCACTATGAGAGCACACGGGGATCCTTCCTCTCCAGCAGGATCCTAGTTCCAACTTCAGGTTAGAGAGGTATTCACATTTCTCTTAGCTCTCTAGAGCACATCCGCGTTAGGAGCTCGAAGCTGTCTTTTATCTGCAGATATCCGCAGTTAAAATGCATCTCTTCTGAGAAGACAAATCACAACAGCCTTTAGGAGGAATCAGCGAGCTGAAAGAGAGGATTACTATCCTGTAGAAGTGAATCTGGGTTCTTTTTGAAAAGTCTTCCCGGGGCTAGCACCCAGAGCCAGCAACAGAGCTCAGCGTAGCATCACGTGTCTGCAGCAGCTGCGGGATTGGAGGAGCGCTTTTTTAGTGCTGCGGTCTAGGCGCGGGCGGTCCCTCCCAGCTGCCAGAGGAGCCGGGTAGCGGAGAGAAGAGGCCACCGGAAGACCGTAGAGGGGAGGGGGCGGGAGGGGGGTGGGGCAGCCTTAGCCACCCACGGCCTGGAGCCTGGGAGGACGAGGAGCGACGCCGGGCTACCCGCCTCGTCACAACTTGCCCAGACCAGACACGCTTTATCTTGCACCCTGGAAGAAGGAGCCCGCCTGCCTCTCCCTGCTCGCTTGTTCCTCGGTCTCCACGAGCCCCGCCTCTGCGCCAGAAGCAATCCCGGGATCTGGATCCCCCGTGACTCCCCGTGCCTCGCAGCGCCCGGCTTTCGCCCAGGAGCGCGCAGCTGGGGTGAGCCGAGGTCTAGGATGCTCCAGGCGTCCGCCGGACTTCAGCCACACAGAGCATCTCGCGTCTCCGTTGGCGAAGTCGGGCCTTCATCCCTATTCTGTCTGCTGAGATCCGCAAGGCTGCAGACCTGCAGCTCCTCTCAACCATCTTTTGCCTTGTAGGACCCGGTTCCCCGAGCCTTTGTCTTTTCGGGTTCATCAGGCCAGCGGTACAGTGAAGTGTGCCCAAAGCAGTAGGCTGCGCAGGGTTGGGAACCCAGTCTGGGGTGGGAGTAGGGGAACAGGAAAGTATGCCCCCCTGCCTTCCTGTTCCGGCCATCTTGTGGCGGATTCGACCTAGGGGGTAAGGATCGCTAACCGCAGATGCCCTAAGCTCATGGACTGCCAAGACTTGGGCCTGCACCCGTTCTTACTGGGTATGCAGCGGAAGCACGGGAGCCTCTCCCACGTTCAGCTAGTTGGCCTTTGGTACAGAGCAAAGGTTCACCCCCTTTAACAAGGCAAAGGCAAAGAAAACAGGAGGGTATGGGGCCTGGAGCCATTATCTTCTCTACTGAACACCTAAGTCACTCAGCTGTTTTTTTGTTTTTTGTTGTTGTTGTTTTTTTAACCTAGCACATTCTGAATGCCCTTTCCTTTCTGCACAAGGTGCTGGAAATACAGCGGTGAGCGACACACCTCTCTTGTTCCCGCTGATCCTGCCAGCCCAGTGGATGGAGCCCAGAATCTACAAACCTGCCAGGTCTGTAACCCAGTGCTTCGACAGAGGGGAAACTGCGGGCCAGAGTCAGCAGATGTGATCTAGGTTAGGCATCGGGTACTTGAAAGAACTCATCTTTAAAACGGTGTATATTCCTAGGGCTTCTATGCTAGGTTGCAGTAAAATGTGTTTTTCTCATTGCCTCAGAATCTTGTGAATGTATGGCTTATATGAAGAGTATGTTTTATCTCCTGGACACTTTCGTGTGGATTTATTTTTATTACTATGGAACGTGCTCAAAATAGTTGGTTACAGCTTTACTTCCAGATAGTTACTGTGACTTGTATTTTCCTTTTTTCTGTTCATCTATTTGGTTGTTAGGAAAGAAAAAAAATTTCCTGATGGTTGGTCCAAGCAGGGCCTCCCAGGTGGATTGAGGAATGCCTGGCTTTTCCTCAGCTCCTTGATCCCGGAGGTGACCACAGGCAGCCTCCAGAAGACCCCTACAATGAGAGGCCTGGGGTCTGCAACTCGCTGCTAGAATTTTTTAAAGAATGCAGGACCATCACAGATTTGTAAGGTAAATACTGTAGCCCTGTAAATCTTCATAGAAAGCTGAAGGTTGAAGTTCCCATCTGTTTTTTAACTTCACCGTTTTAAGAAATGTTGAATGACATTTTTTGATTCCAAAAACTGGAATGACAAGGTATTGCATATACTGGGCAAGTTATCTGGTTTGTGTTTTAACAAGTTATCTACGCTGAGTTTCCAGCCCACAGAGGGAGAACAGTACCTTTTAAAAGTACATTGGAAGTAAGGCATTTAGAAAGGCTGATGAATGAACAAGTGTAACCTTACAAAACACACCCTTAAGTTTAAAAAAAACAATTCCATTAAAACTGGCAAACATAAATGTACACACCTGCATAATCCGTATCCACAGTCAAAAATGCAGAAGGCCCCGCCCCAGATTCTCCTTTCCTTATGCCCTCACTTAACTTTATACTTTTGTGGCTCCAAATGTGTGAAAAAGATAAAGACAAATGTGTATTTCTAATCTCAGAACCTAATGTTAGCATAGGGATGGATAGTCAGAAGACCACAGCTATGACTAAAGATTCTGGAAATGTGACCCCATGCATGTTTTAGGGACTCACTGGGCCCTCTCTTGAAACCAGGGAGGGTGGTGTCAGGGAAGGTAGACCTCCAAGAGATGCCCACCATAAATGGATGAGTCCTGTGGCGTCTCCTGCTGGTCCAAGAGGTCTTCTCTGTCTTTCTGGTCCCGCAGGTCCCTGGGCGCATGCTGAACGCGCGTGGGCGGACACGCCCTGAACTCCAGGTCGGGGCAGGGCGCTGCCATAGCAACGTCCTGGACGCCCAGATCTTAGGCCGCCGCCGCCGCCGCAGCGGGGGTCTGGGCCATCTCAGGCTCACGAGGGGAGTGGCGGCGGCGGCCCCGAGGCGGCCAGGGCCTGGGAGACGACACTGCTCCGCCCCTCCAGAGCAAGCCTAGGTGGCAGACTGGCTTGCAAGCATGGTAAGATGCACGTGGCCGGAGGTGTCTGTCCCGGGATGCAGGGCAGGGACGGTCGGGGTTCGCCTGGACTCTCGGCTCCCCATCCCCCGCCTCCCGCCGCGCTGTCTCTTCCTCCGCAGCCCTTCCAGAAGCACGTCTACTACCCTTTGGCCAACAGCCCCGAGGGGCCCGACGCCTCTGCCGCAGGCGCGGCCCCCATGGCCTTTGTCCCCCCAAGCGCGGCCTCGGGCCCCCTGCCCTTCTTCCAGTTCCGGCCGCGACTGGAGAGCGTGGACTGGAGGCGGCTGAGCGCCATCGACGTGGATAAGGTTGCCGGCGCCGTGGACGTCCTGACACTGCAGGAGAACATCATGAATATCACCTTCTGCAAGCTGGAGGACGAGAAGTGCCCGCACTGCCAGTCGGGGGTAGACCCAGTGTTGCTGAAGCTGATCCGCCTGGCGCAGCTCACCATCGAATACTTGATGCACTCGCAGGAGTTCCTCACCTCGCAGCTAAACCTGGTGGAGGAGAGGCTGCGCCTGAGCCTGTTCGACTATGAGCAGAGCAAGCAGCTGCTCACCAAGCAGGCTGGCGAGATCAAGCTTCTCAAGGAAGAGTGTAAACGCAGGAAGAAGATGCTGTCCACACAGCAGCTGATGATCGAAGCCAAGGCCAGCTATTACCAGGTGGGACAATGTGCCGGTTCCCGTTAGGAGCCTACCCTTTCCGTTCTGCACAGAGATTTTTTTCCCCCTCAGAGAAAACAGATTAAGGTCAAAACAGTTACTTTAATCAACAGCAAAAAATATTTCACTACCTTCTACACCCACCAAGGAATTAATAATTAAATATCTACTATTGTCTGCAGGGCTTATGGGGTTACCCAAATGTTGGCTGTTGAGCCTGTTTCCTCTTTACAGTAGATGCTGTGAAAAATCCAATTGTGTACACATTGCTATTGAAGTTGGTCCCCAAAAGACCTGGAATATGATTCAGTATATGAGCCCCCCCCCTTAAATGAAGCGCTTTTTCCAAATGACAGAAAAGTGTCAAAATAGAACCTTAATGGACCCCTTACCCAGCCTCTCTAACCTGCATCTGGCACGCTTCTGTGTCTTATCCCTGTTTGTTTCCTGCGTAGGAAGCGTCTCACAGTGAGTTACAGACTCCTGAAGTTCTCAGTGGGTGCAGTTCCCGAGGACAAGAATACTAACAATAGCATTTAAGCACTTTTATATCCAAAATCATAGTCTCTGTCTGTTATGAATTAGACATTGAGCCCAGGATAAATATTGCAGTTTTGAAATCAATGTGCAGGTTGAGTAATGTTTAGGATCAGACATGTTTTGAAATTTGGAAGATTAACATTCATCTTACGAGGAATTTGGGGCTGGGACTCAGATCCAAATATTTGTGTTTGTATGTATCTACGTGAGTCTGCATGAGCGAGTGCAGGCACCTGAAGAGGCCAGAGAGTGTCGGCTCTCCGGGAACTGGAGTTAGGAGTGCTCTGTGAGCACCTCAGTCTGGATGCTGACTCTAAGCTGAGACCTCTACAACAGCAAAGAAGGCTCCTCAGCTCCTGAGACCCAAATATAAATACAAATTAATTGAAGTTTCAAATACATCTTACAGTGATGACCTGGAGTTGGTTTTATACAGTATATACATAGTATATGTATTTTACATAGTATATGTATTTTATACAGTATATACATAGGTTTGCCTATGTTGTAGCTAAGACCGATCACTTGGGGTTGGGTGTGGAATATTATACTTGTAGGGTGATCTCTGTGTTTTCGAGCATTTTGGGTTTGGGGTTTTAGATGAGGAGGCTCAAATTGTGCGTAGCTGAAAGAAGGACAAACTTGGATTAAAAACATAGTAAACAGCAGGTTGATGGAACTGGTTTTATACATTTGGGGTAAGTTCTCTTTAAATGGCTTTAAGCGTTCTTGGGAACATGGGAGCCAAGGCAGGTTTCAAGGTTGTAGAAGTGGGCATAGGGCAGAGAAGTGGTCCAGTTGGTAGTGCGTAAGACAAATCCCAGAAACTCTCAAAGAAGCGTGTTGCAGCCTGGGGAGCAGCTGGGAAATCATGCAGACAGGAAGGCCCAGGGTCTGGCCTTGGGTAGACAGCAGGAGGCACTCTCTTCAAAGGATACTTGGTGTCCTCAGCGTCTGCTTCACAAATGCTGCTTGAAAATTACATACCTATAAATAGTCCTAAGATTGCTTTTTGTGTATGTGTACAATGAATGGAATCAGTTCATCTTAAACATTTAAAGTAAGTATATTGTTCTCTAGGTTGGGTCGTAATCTAGTGAAATAGTAACACATCTAGCAAAAAGTTACCTTTCGTCCTTTCAGTCACCACAGAAATAACTGTTAGTAAAGATTTTCCCATAGGAAGGATGAGTGAGGCTGAAAGCTCTCTAACAAATATGAAATACGATTGTATGACTGTGTGAATATGTAAAGGTAAGGACTTTATCAAACCAGCGGTGCCTGTCAACCCTTAGCACAGGTGGTCTCTCTGAATGCCAGTGTCGACTGTGGTGGGGCGTGTGTGGGTTCATGTGGGACAGAAGTGACTACATCACTGTTTCCTACTTAGGTGGACAGGCACTCTGCCCTCCGTGAAATGACGTGCCTTTGTTAGTTTCACAGTTCGACTGCATAGGTCTGACTGTGATTCCACATCAACGTTGCTGAAAGATTTCATTCCTAAGCTGATTCATTCCTAAGCATGGTGTCCTCCCTGAAACAGGGCATTAGCAGCTGCAGCCTGTTAGCATGGGGAGTTCCGAGAGCTAAAACTGGTAGCACGTGTGAGGGCCCAGTGGAGGCTTGGATTCAGTTTTCCCTGTGACTTTCCGGTGCTGAGTTACGGCTTCCTATTGTCTCTTGTGAACCCTCACACCACTTTAAGAGTTACATTCCACCTACTGCCAGAGTTACAATCAACCTACTGCCAGAACAATAATCCAACCCAGGGCTTTGTCCCACATGTAGGTAGCCCTCTACTGGAACATGGACAAACTACACCCCAGGAGAAAACTTGACTGTCCCTCTGCCAATAAACCACTGAGCTAGTCCGCGTAGGACCTCAGAAGCCCGTTCCTTCTCCAAGCTGGAGTGCTGACCAGTTTGATCTTGTGCGGGTCTTAGGCCATGGGTCACGGATGCAATGGCCTCGTCATATCTGAAGACACTGTTTCTAGGGAAACGTCCTGATACCTATCTACTTTCTCTTCCGTGACACCTCTCGAGCTGTTGGTTACCTCATGACTTTCATGGCACTGTGGCATTAATTGTCATATCTTTCCAGGGTGATTGTTAGGGTTTGCAGGATTCACACTCCGTAAGACTGTTGATACCTTTTATCCCTCAGAAGCCTTCACTGAACCTTAAGGCACCATGAAACTAGGAAAGCATCAAAGAAACTTCCGGATTAGTACGAGTTGATTTACCCATGTCCTGTACTCAGAGTGTGGGTCTTCCAATCGATCGTGCTGTAGTAGGCAGCCAAGAGCACTGGTAATATACTGTATTGTTTTGAGGGTTTCTGGGATCCCCAGCAACTCTATAGGGTATTCCCACACCTGGCACTGGGGTTTTTGTTTGATAACCTAAGGCTTTTTGGGGGAACGTTATCTCTCTACAGAGGGTAACTAGAAAAATACCAGTTGCAGGATGGATGGTAAGACTGTGCTACGTATACATAATGGAATTCTATTTATCTGTAAAGAAAAATGAAATTGTGAACTTCGTACGGAACCTGGTCAGTTTAATTTCATTTATCACTATGATAGTATTATGTATTTTTTTATAGTTTTAGTAATCCAGACCCAGAAGATAAACACATGTTCTTCCTCATATGTGGATCCTAGCTTTGAATCTTTAGATCTGAATGTTTATCACAGAGTTCCTGTAGCAACCAAGCGACTAGAAAGAGGAACCATTAGGAGAAGAAAGTACGTGAGGCAGGAGGACAGTATGATGTGGGGGTAAAGGGGGGGAAGCTTGACTGGGG